ATAAATTTAATTTAGTTAATCATTTTTACGTAGGATTCCATTTTGTTATTTGTGTTAATACATAGATTCACATATACACATGTATGTGTTAATGCAAGCCATTGTTCCGTAAGCCTCCAGCCAAAATATGCAATTTTAACAATAAATATTAATACACTTTTTTCTTGAAAAATTATTAATTTCGTTAAATTATTTAACAATATTTCTCAAGTATTTCTATAGAGATATATGTAGTTAACTTTATTGCAATAAAAAATATGCAAAAAACCGAAATTACGTAACACAACTGACGAAATGGCGCTGATCGTCACGGCTACCGTTCACAACTGATTTAAAGCGAATATTTACACTAACGTCAAATGAAAGCAAAGAAATCTGTTCTCACTTGTTAAGCTGTATTATTATTACAGCTTAGAGGATATTATTATGTTATTTAACATTAATTACCAATAATAAGTGATCTCAAGATGCTTGTTACTCTATGATTAGTTTAAATACTAACTAGTATTCTGTTATAAACTCTATGATTACTTTAAATACTAATTAGCTATGAAGCGTGAATGCTTGAAATATTAGTGTAATAAAGAAAAATCTCATCTAAAATGAAAAAGAAAATTTAACTTATATTTTTTAGATGTGTAATATATTTCAATATGTTCTCTTATATAAAAATTTTAATAAAATGATCTTGAATTAAAGTAAGTACAATTTACATGACAAACAAAAGATAGAAGAAGAAAATATATGCTGCTTTAAGATAAGAAAAATTAACACATTTAAATTAAATCCAAAATTTCTTTTAAATAAATTTAAAAACAAAATAAAATTAAATTTATCTTTATTGAATCATTCACACCCTTCATGCAAGTAGACAAAAATTCCATCTTGAAGATTTTTCTTGCATAAGGATTACTATAATTAAAAATTTATTTAGAAAATAAGTTTTCTGAAATTGCTTTATAACAAAAAATCCTGAATTAATCGAAGAGACTCAAAGCAGAGCAACCTTTTAAGTCAAATAACAGTCAAGCGCGAAAAACTTCAGCCCCAGGATCCCATCCATCCCAACGTAAGTGACATTTTCATTTTTAATATTTTTAGTTTTGTGCTTACTTTATATTTTTTATTGTTTAAGTTAAATTAAAATTTTGTAAACTTTTTTAAAAAAAGAATAAAAATGTCGTATTTGCAAATTTTTACAGAAAACTTTTTTATAAAAATTGTGAATATTTACAATTAAATAATAAACATATATATGTAATATATTTTGTATAATAAAATATAATATTTTCGTATATTATATTAAAATCGAAGTAATATGTATTCGATAAAAATTTTATTTATAGATATAAAGATGTATAAGGACATTTTATGAATATACTAACATTGTCGTTATGAAAATAACATTGTAAATTCAAAACTTTAACGTAACGTTAACAGAACAGCTTATATATAATAACAGTTGTAATATAACATTTACCTAACATATAAAATATAACAGAAAAACACTCTACACTTGTTACGTTGGATAGTATACCAGTTTCAACTATTCTGTTATAAATTATTGCAATTATTAAAATAATATATTTAATTACTAATTTTCTATAATAATAAGTAATAAACATCAATTATAACGGAAGTGACTATCTTATTTAATAGAAAAAAATTCCAAAATAAAGTATGGCTTTGGGTCAGTTGGTAAACTCTGATCAGGGCTTCAAATTTGGCATGGTACTAGTTCAACCCTTGATAGTTCCAGAGTCAAAAATTTATTCAAGATTAATTAAATATACGAAATTAATCCAAGACCACTGATAATGGGAATTTGGCAATACTCGAAACAGCTGTATGGTCAGCCAAAAATTCCATTAATTAACATAATATAAAAAGAACTTTTGTTGTTGCAGTTCACTAATTTTCGAGACCACTCTACCAAGTAACAAATATTAAATTTTATAATTATTCAAAAATTACAATAACTATTAAATTTTAAAATATGCAGTTTTTCTTAAATCCTTTTAATTATTCAGCTTAACTAAAAACTTTCTGATTTTAGTTTTATTTCTATTTATTGCCAAGAATAATATTTTCATACCAAAAATTTGCTTTGTTAAATAATTTCACTTAAATTGAAATAATTTTATGATTGAAGTCTTGCCAGTTACAATAGCAAAGCGTGAATTTAATTTAGTAGAATTTATAATGGAAATAAAAAAAATAGTTGTTTTTACAAAAGCTCAAGAAACTCTTTAAAGTGAAAGGAAAAGTTGAGGAAAGAAAAACTCATTTAATTAAACAACTGTAAAATGTAGGAAAACAGTTCAGTGTGTTTAAAAAGCAAATATTATTACAATTAAAATGGTAAAAGGAACAGAAAGTCAAAGACTGAACACCTAATACACAAAAAAAAAACGGGAAAAAAATTCGTGAAACAAAAGCGAAATTTCAAAGTAATTTGCCCTTTGCTCGCTCCATTCTGTGCATTCACATTGGCGCCATTTTAAAATTATTTTATATTCATAAACTTGTATGTACTTAGACGAGCATTGTTCTCATGTACTAACCACTCATCATATGATTATTATTATGCCGTTTTATTCGTTTGTTACCGTAGTTTCTCACGCATTGTTCATGTCCTCGTTATTGTTTTAAATGCTTATAAGAGTTCCTTTTTATGTACTTCAGCTTATTCTTGTGCATTAGTTTTTGTTTCTGCAAAAGGTGACAGGCCGGAAATGCTGAAGTGAACAATAAAAACATCAACGGCAGCCATTTTGAGAAAAGCAGTTTACTTCGTTTAATCTTGAAAATTAATTTTATGTTAGAATTGAAGAAATTTTCTTTTATTACAATCTTTTACAAATGGATAGGAAATAATTAATTATTGTTTTCTAAAATAAAATTCCAAAAAATGTATTTAAAGCTACAAATGAATAGGAAATAACTAAGTATTATGTCTTAATATTATATTCAAGAAAATGTAATCAGAGTTAAATAAACATTAAAAAATGTATGACATGTTTATAATTCCTGAGGTATTTTTTAATAAATCGCGTGCGAATCAATTTCTTGTTATAAACTATACAAGAAATCTGTAAAATGGGAACTCAACTAGTTTGCAATATATATATTGCACGTATGATGAGGCGTGAAAGTAGTTAAAATGTTCCCAAGATAAGATATATCTGTCGGAAAAGACAACTTAAGTCCAGTAGAGACCTCATATACCTCATACATATATATAATATATATAGACCTCATACATATATAAATATATATATATACCTATAATTTTAAGAAATATAATTGGTCATCATTTCATGTATTATATATATTAGATATATTTTTGATTAGATATAGGAGTCGCAGTCAAATTGACTATGTGCACAGAATATTTCACAATGTCGTCAAAAGATGACTTGAAAAGGCCACATGAAAAACCGTATTTGTAATAGAACTTACAAACTCGTACAATCAGAAAAGAATAATGCAACATAACGATCTTATATGTTCTATACAATCACTGCACTGGCTGGATACTTTGTTATAAGCGAATATGTCGACTAATTAGTAGTTTTCTCCACGAGTACTGTCGTATCTGTACGTCAGAGGAAAAAAAAAAATTTCGCTTATCTACTTTATTGCCAATCACTTATCAGTAAACTTCTTTCCTTAAATGTTACAATATCGCCATTGCCATTGCCTCACCAAATAACTATTATCCTATCTATTATTTAGAGAATGAAAAGATAGAATCTTCTTTCTTCATATATCACAATAAAAAAAAATTAAGGATCTAAAAATCCTGTCCTAACCGTCTGATTAGGAGCCCTTTCAAAACTACTGGCTTGTCTATCGTTTGAATTATAAAAAAGAAAATGTTACTTATCTACATTGTTACTGCCAAATATTTACAAGTTATCATTTATCCTCTTTAATGTCTTTCTTCCTGAAACGTTACTGTATCAGAAATAATAAAAAGATTTTGCGTGTAGATGTTTTAGATCGTTGACCGGGATGTCATTAATGATGCCGATACTAAGTTTTCCGATATACCATAAAGTTCTTCACTGTCATCGGTAAAAGTAGTTTCACAGTTTGTTTTGAACTTACAATCCCATATAATTAGTGGTCCTATTACAAATCACGATATTTCAATAATCTTACTCGTATATAATTCCAAACGCTCCTTAGATTAATAAAAAAAACTTGAAAACTGAAAAGAACACAGAAGGTTTGTGCATACATTTTTTAAAGTTAGTAAATTTTGTGAATAAATTTTATGCATTCACTAAAAAGATGGAAAATGTCACATAAAAGGACATTTACTTCCGTGTTTCTTATGGGAATCATAAATATAAAAAAAAATAAATATTAAAACATATTTTATAGAGACGCAAAGTCATAACTTGAGCTGAATAATATGCTGAATAGAGAATATATAACTAAAAACTTATATGATCCCAGTTTGAGACTACTTGAATACAAAAATATGAAACAATATTTCAACAAACGCATGGAAGACTCAACCAAACATTACAACTTCATGTCGTTGGCATCATTTAAAGCAAATATGTTTATTCCTTAAGGAGCTCAAAAGCACTAAACAGGGAGCAAATTATTTGAACTACTAACGTCATATGTCACATAAAAGTGATGCACTTTATACCCTTCCACCGAGTTCAACGGACTCCCACAAAGGCGTTGTGTCGACAAGAGTTTGTCAAGAGTGCCAGAACCATACTCTATAAGAATCTAGTAAAATAAAATAAATATAAGTTTTAAATAAATATATATAAGCTAACTAATAAATTTAATTACCACTAGTAGCAATAATTCTAAGTAATATTATTTTTAATAAAATTTTCTCTTTCGATTCCGAAAGTCGAACTCATAAATTTCAATCCTTTACACTGTGTCCTCGTTCTGTGCTCCAAAATTATGCCGTGTGCTTCATTGCATTCATTTAATGAATTGACAATATAATTTTTCAACATCAGGTACAGACAGAGGAGGTACAGGCAGAGCTAAAGGATGCTGGGGCAGAGCATTGCCGAACATTACAAAAGGTAGAAGTACCAACCGTGCGTGACAATTTTATGCAAAGAAAAAGATAAAAAAATAAATTTGATGCCAATGATTAACTGAATAAATTCAGAGCAAAGCAAGTGAAGGCTATGAATTTATATTTTTTTTTGGTACTCGTATGTCAACTCAGGATGAAACGATGAAAATTCTCAAATATTTTTACAAAAATATCCTCGAGAGCAGTTTTCGAATAACCAACTTCAGAATGAATGAAGGCAAATATCTGAAGAGCTTGTCGTTCAAACTAACAAGCAAAAGGAGCGTAATTAAAAGAATCACTGATGCTCATGGAGAAGAACATATGGATATGTGGTTTTATAAAAAATATAGAAAGCAACTTGGAATGCAATATAAACATAGCAACAGGAATTGAAATTTTGGTCTTAATTGAAAATATTCTCTATTTAAAACCAAATTCTATATTATTAATTAAAGATTTGTCTGTATTGCATAAGTATGTTGAAATCTGCAGGATTAAACAAAAATAATTAACTGAAAGGAATAAGGGATAATACACTGCGACCTAAAAGATCTATTATGCCCCTTAGTCGGATTGGAGTATTTCTCCATAGAGAAATAGAGCTTATCATTCCTAGTCTTAGATCCTTATGATCCATGAAATACCCTCCTAGCGCATGGTATGCAGTATCTGCAGTTGAGTTTGATTGGATTCCTAACTTTGTTAGTTGATTTTTCAATCTACGGTGATCGGTTAATAACCTCGTAATAATTCTTAGGTTATTCTTTGTTTGTTCTATGCAATCCTTGAATTTATTTAATTTCGTAGATTCTAAAAATAATTTGTAAAAAAAGTGTTCTATATTAAATAGTATCAGAAGTATTATTTTCTTTGTTGTGTTTAAGTACATTCAAAAAAAAAACTACTGAAAAAAACTACTACATAGGTTTCCGACGATTGGGCTATTTAGTTAAGTTTGATGTACAATTTTTTGCTCTTAGAATTAGTGTAGTACATAAATTTTTGTTCATCACTAATAACGCGATATAAAAACGATTTTATCTTAAACGTTTCAACAATATTCTAGACATGCCAAATTGGATGTCTGGAACATGCCAATTTCGGATGAATACCAATTGTTTTCAGTACTGGCAGTTTTTTTTGTTTGGGTTATTGATACTGCATTTTAGGAGAAATGTTAAGAATATTGCAGAAGATCTTTGATGACCAAGTTAGGTCACAAAAAACTCAAAGAAGAAAGAGAAAACGTTAATGACGAACCAATACGTCAATAAGCAACAATAAGCTTAAGTAACAATAAGTAACAATAAACAAGTTTTTTGATATTATTATGTTGTTGTTTGTTGTAGTCCATTGGGATCTCCTTGTAAAATCCCTTTAGTCATCGAGATTAACGAGTGGCTCCAGTACGTTGACCAGGACGTTCTTGAAATTGTTAATATTGTTATCATTTTATTTGAATCAATCTTAACCATTTTGGTCGATATTTTAAGTCTGAATATGTTGAAATCCTGTTTAATGGCAAAAACATACAATTTTTAGAAAAACATTTGGAAAAATAGCACCGCGTTGCTTTGCTTTTTAACTAACAGGATAGATTGAAATGTAACTTGAGATTATAAAATATGGAACCAATCCACTAATCAAGCGAATACCGTGAAAAAGGTGTACCACAACTATAAAGATCGCTCTAAAGCCCATTAAAAATCAAAGTCAATTAACAGTTTTCTTTGATTATCGTGATGTGATATATTATGAGTTCAGTCTATCGAGTTAATGGAATATATTTTAAGTGATATACAATATTCACAGAAAACTTTTCACAAAAAACCCAGATTTATGAGCTGGCCCCTTTTTGAACCACAGTAATGCACCTACTCATACTGTATAAATTCTTCGAGACCTTTTCGGTAGAAATTCAACGTATATCGTTTCACAACTATTCACACTGTGTAAATGGTTTTTTAGCAGCGTATGAGCTCTGGTTATTTCCTAAATTCAAATGACCATTCCAGGGACTCCGTTTCAATACAATCCAGGAGATAAAAACCGGATAGCTATATGCTTTGATTATTTTTAGGATTGACAGAAAAGTTTACATAAATCCATTGTATCTGGAGGAAAATATTTCGAAGATGATAAAATAGATTTAGAAATGAAAGAAAAAATTGTTTAATCCCAATAAGTTGCAATAAAGCTGATGTTACTTTTAAGAGCAAAGTAATGTATGTCAAACATAAGGTGGTCCGGAATTAAATAACTTCCATAATGAATATATAAAAATATCAAGCCTACCAGCTGCAGAAAATTAAAGTACAAATCGATAGTGCTTATTCCATTTTAAGTATTCATTAGTATTCGACCAATATTTTATATAGAAGGAAATTTATAAAAGATTTATATTAAAATATGTCTGCTCTCCTGATATTATGATTGGAGTTTTAAAACATAGGATTAAGCAAAATTAAAAAAAAAACCGTTACTTTAAAAAGTACTAGAACACTTTTGTTTCTTGTATGTAAATCAACTGTGCCTTACCGAATATAAGTCAATTATTTAGTGTTGTCACAAAGTATCCATATCCAAACAAAAAGCATATAAATATTTATTTTTCCCATCAATCTCATTTTGGTTTACTTTTGCAATTTCTGGCTTAACCTCAGTACAAATGCTTACGAAACTTTGAAGAATGAAAGGAAAATGCGGTTTTAAATGTGCTGTGAACAGAAGCGTCAAAGCGTTTTCCAACACTTAAACGATTCCTGTGGGTGTAATAATGAGAAAAATAAGTGGCAAAACAATTTCAATTTGAGTTTATATATTTTTGGTTCCCAAATGTCTATTTTTATATTAAACACAAATTGGAATTCATACCTTCCACCTTCCACGGCAACAAATGCCCTTCATTCACTAAAATAAATATAAATAAGACGAATAAAATGCCATACACCTACAATACTTCGATTAGCCAATATCTCATGGACGTGGTTTTTGAAAATTATTAAAAAAGGTTACATTTCCTCCCCGCTAAACTAAACCGAACTGATTGTTCTTCTGTGTCCAAACGTGTTCGGCATCTTTAATGCTTATTTAAGCAGTTCGATTGCTCATTGAATTGCGGTCCTTGGTTGAGTTTGTGTAATTTATGTGATTTCAATATTGAAATTGACTTCCAAAGTGAAATGTGTTTGTTTCGCTGGAATGCACATCACCAGACTTCAAACAACAGAATTTCAATTATAAATAAGCAACGAAACTTGCTGATAACCAAAATAAGGAAAGCATTTAGATATGCGAAAAATTTGTGGAATGTACAATACAAAGTTACTCATTAAGTCTTCATATCTAATATAATTGAAATGCTTGGAAAATTACATTGGCTAACGTTCAATAGTATTAGTTTAAATATAATATGTTTTCGAAAATGAACTTTTGCTCTTAAGGATATGGAGTTGGATGTAACTACATTTTGCTCTATGCATTGCAACACCAATCGATTATCAAATAGTATCTGCAGAATCCAATTGAGAGGTCATTAGAATGAAACTTAATAATTTGAATAATAATAAAATTTTTGAATCATTTTCAAAACCCTACTTTGAAAATGGTTCAGAAAATCATCAACATTGTATATTCGTAATTCCAATTCAAGCAAGTACATTATACGTTTATATATATATATATCAAAGCTTTAAAACAAATAATTTACATTAGTCTTTTAGATGACAGTCGCTTATCTTCATTTTTGCTCTTCTCATAAAGTCATAACTCAATTTCAATTATCCTCTTTCATGTATTGCTTAGACGCCCAATCTTCTACTGCTTTGGAGTTTATAATCAAACATTTTATTATTAATATCTTCTGCTGATCAACACATAATGTCACCAAATCACACTCCATGAATCAGTACCTCTTCAGTAATGAATGTTTGCCTGATACTGAACCAAAGTTAGATGATACAAGGCTAAAATTCTAAAAGTCCTGAGATTAGTCAAAGTGGACAATACGGGATCATAAACAAAATTGCCAAATTATCAAAGCATTATTTACGTTTTATTATCTTGTTATATTATCTAATTATTATCTGTATTACTAACTTGATATTCAAAAACAGAGAAAACAGAGAATATATGTATCTCTATTCAAATATTCAACCTTCAATTAATAAAGTGAAAAGGTGTTGATCTTTTGTGCAACAGATTTCCATCCCAACGGAAGGATCGACAGACACTAAAAGATACTAAATAGCTTTGTATGTATAAAATTTCATTTGAAAACTATTAGTGAAAATGAATAATATTTGTCTATTCAGATGAAATATTTTAAAGACATAAAAGAAAATATACTGAAGTAAAATAAAATGAACTACAATATATACAAAACAAACCAAATTATTTCTTTTTCATTTTTGAACTGTGATGAATATCCTTTATCCAGAATCCAGAGACTAACATTGAGAATCCCGAAAACCTCATAATTATTAAAAGTTTCGAAAATAAATACATCTATTCGCCACACAGCGTTAACAGATGGCAAAGAGTTGTCAACAAAGATAATAGTGTTGATAGGGGATTTATTTCCGGAAAATGTTTTATTACAAACAACAAGGTGTATTTGGTGTACCTACTTCCACATCCCTAACATGCTCCCGTGCCAAAAGCAGATATCAAACATATCGAACAGAGAATAGCTGCAATAAAATATCCCAAATTAGTATATACGACCCGAATTAGTATATAAGTTGGGGCGTATAAACAGATAAGCACTTAATAAAGTGTAAGAGCAAGTAAATGTTTGGTACATGTGTCTTTTCTGACTTCAACTAAACACTGACAATTACGTTGCACGAGGTATGCATCCTGCATCCATAAAGATTTCGTATTGGAGACCTATTGAAAACTTTAAATCGACAAACAAAAGTTAAACCGAACAAGACACTGCTATGGTATATTGTACGGTTACACCTCGTCGATATTCGTCCTTAATATCTGCCGCAGTAAAGATCGACGTATTCATGATATGAAGATAGGAATAGACTTATGTAGTATTAATCCTGATGTCATTAAAATGCCCATCTAATGCCCAGCAATAGAAAGCTTTGAACTCATTATGAAAATGGTTAGCATGTGAAATGCAATGGCAGCCAGTTAAAACATACTAAGCATACTAAGCTTAATTTTGACATAATGTAATGATATGGGATCCATGCAATATAGACCGTAATAGTATATTGTATATTGTCCAGTATGTGTCCAGTAAAGTATTTGCATCCCTTTCCCAAGGACAAACTGCGACAACATTCTACATATTTTTACGATAGTTCAACCGACTGTAAAGAACGACACCTAGAATTATAGTTTCATATATTATGAGCTTTTTGAATAAAAAGCTGAAAATGGACACTGTCATCCCGAGCATAGTTTTTGTTGTTATTATGTGCCTTTAAGTTTAACTCCTATGGTCTTAAAATCATAAGAATTGAATTTAAAACGGAAATTGTGATCACCACTTTATCATCGATAACGACTTTTAAGCTCATATTTTTTAGCTTTTTATTTGTTTACAAAATGTTGTTCTACATTTTTATTCATTATTACTTATTTTTAATTGTTACTTGTTTCTTACAGATAGGAAACCATGGTTGAAGATTGCAACTCCCTTTCAATCATGCTTATCGCAGCTGTGGAGAGGACGATGAAAACGATCAAATCTACTTTGCTACAACCCAGCACATACACGGGGCCGCTTTACCATTTTACATGCCTCATTTTTTGAGGATCTTGACCAACTTTAAGATCTCCCATTAACTAGCATTTTAAGGTTTGACATAGGTTCAATGTGGTTTTTAAACCTCTGAGTTTTCCCTTATATACTTAATACAAGTCCAATGGGCATAAGAGGATGTTGTTGTTGTAGCCCGCTAGGACCTGTAAGCAAATAATATGAAAGGATTTAGAAGACGATTGCATGGGTAGGGATGTAGATGGATAGTGGTTGAAATTGGGGGAGCGAGAATAGGGAGAAGGGGTAGATTTGAGTGGGTGGTATTTAAATTGTAAATTTGAGAAACCTGGCCATTTTAATGGTGTGGGTCTAAAGCCTAAGTGGTATAACCTAACCTATTCTAATCATATAAAAAGTTTAATATTTTCCCTCTTTTGTTAATAACATATGTATATTAAATTAGAATGTGACCCGATTCTATATCTCTTTCATCTCATTGTTATTGTTTCATGTGTTTATTGTTCTGATATATTGTTTGCTGAAATGTGGCATTATTTTTATTGCATCATATATTGGAATTAAACAAAATATACTTATTTTTATAGTTTCACTCATTTTATTATATAAAATTTATCTGAATTTAAAATTCCTCGATAAATGTAAAATTAAAAAACAATAAATATGTTAAAAAATTGTGTTTTGTTTTTGCATCAAATACACAAAGAATCTTTTTGCGATTTTTTGTCTTTTTTTTCTACTGCAGTCAGTTTCATTATTATTATTAATATTTTTTTGCTTTTGTTTTTATTTTTGTTTACTTTTTATAAAAATAAGAAAGAAATTTTAAAATTGTAAATAAAACGTTTTAAGTCTAAAATTATTTCGCTGTTCATCTACAGTTACTTTCGTTTTATATAATTTCAAGTCAGTTTTTTTTAATTTGAATATAGGAAAATATATATACTTTCTATTTATACAAAATCTAACGTATTTATATTGTTTTTTATTTGCATTTTTGTTTATATATATTTATACATATATATATATATATATAGATCTATATATATATATATATATATGAATATATATAAATATTTACGTGTTTAAAAATATACAACAGGTTTTCTTATACCATTGGTGTTTTTAAGTATTTAAAAAAAAATGAATTAAAAAAATTCCAACAAAAAAGGATGCAGAAAATATATATATATATAAAGTACTAACAGAAAAAAAAACACAAAAAATAACAACTAAAAATTTTTTAATTTTTATAATTTTTTTATATTTTTATTTAATTTTAAAATCGTATAAATTTTATTTGCCTTAGTTGGGATTAAACTCGTATTAAATGAAATTAAATTGTTTATAAAATTTTTGTATAATTAATTCAATTACATATAAATTTTTATAAGTGTAAACAATTGAATAAATTATTAAAAAAAATATTTAATGAAAAATTGCACAATAACTAAAAGAATTCAAAACAGGAGTACAATGAATTTTTACATTATTAGTTATTTTAAATAAATATTGCGAACGTATTATAAACATATACCATCATATTATATATCAAAATAAGATGCTCATGTTTATATACATACTTGCATACACACATTCTTATATGTAATTTTGAAATAACGTCAAAAATTTATTCTCCTTTTATTTCTCAAATAAAACATGCAACATAAATTAATTTTTTCAGGAATTTTTAACAGAATTACAACGACTTTTTTAAAGGCGATTTCGTTTAGAATATATATTGTATATAACTTTGTAAATATTTATAAAAAAAAAATCATTTACCTTTAAAGCCACAAACATTAAAGATGTAAACAGTTTTGTCTTTTTCAGTTAAAGTAAAAGAACATAATTATTACTTTAACTATTTAAAGAGTTTATATAAAAGAAATTAAATATTAAAAAATGAAAAAAAAACTAATTAAATTAAATATTAAGTTGGCATTTTGTGGTAATATTTTTAACTAAAGGAGCAGGATAGAAACGCACAAAACAAGTGTCAAAATAATGTTTAAAAAAATAATTGTTTTTGTTTTAATTTAAATGCGTTCAGATATATGAGTTCACACTGTGAACTGTTTATATGTCTTGAATTTTTATTTAATTTTTTTTTTATTGTTAATTTTGCTTCTATAAAGCAATAATAAACTATATAGACAACCTTCAGTTTGACACCAGCATCGACGTTTTTAGCCTGCTTTTTATATTCTATTTATTTAGTTATTTTCATAACATTAGTTTTTCGTTTTTTTTTTGTTTTGTTTATTTTGTTTTTTAGTTTTTAGGTCCCCAAGCTGATGTTATTGGAGTAGCAACTGGAGCACCGCCAACTGCAAAGTCTGGGAAATCTTCTTGTGACTGAGTATTAGGTGCATTTTTAGATTTTTCGTTTGCCTTTTCCCATGGAGCATCCTTTATGATAAAACCATTTTCAGTTCCACCTGCACCAGGCAAGAATGCGGCAACTGTTTGTAGTTGCGGTGATGGCGGAGCATTCTCCAAATAGTCACGTATATAATCCTCGGCCATATTAAGTATAACATCCTTTGCATTTTCGACATCTTCTTCCTTGCCAATAATTGTAACAGCATCAGGATTATTTTGAGCATCATCGGCAGAAGGAAATTTAATATCGACCTATAAACAAATTCAAAAAATTTAATATAAATTTATTGTATTTTATGCTATTGTATTTTCTTTTAATTATTGTATATTGTTTAATTTCGTTATTGATTATTATATGCAAATTATATACGGACAATTAAATCAAGCAGAATTTAACCCTTGCACTTGCACGTTCAAAGAATTATTTACAAATTTGTAGTCTCAAAAACTTATTTGGAAGTTTGCAATCCCCCAATTTCACAATTAATTGAAATTAATAAAAATTATGTTATTGTAATTTACTACTGTTCAAAAGCCTCCATAACAGATGTTTCTAAAAAGCACTCATGATAAATATAAAGCGGCTATAAGAAACTATAATCACTTTCTCTATTCAAAAAAAGATGTCTGATGGAGCATAACATTCCGAAATTAAATTGTTTAATATAATTTCATTTTATGTAAACCAGCTTGTTGATAATCACAATATTGGTATTGTTGACAACTTCATATATCTAAATCTATCTTTTGTGTCGGCAGGGGAGGACATTTTGAACTGGAGTGCCTCTTAAAGTCTATAAAACAGTGCGAAAAGTGAATACTTTTGTGACTTTTCTGCTCCGAAAAACTACTTACGCTAACATAAGCTATTAAAAAATTAGATTAGCAAACCATCTAAACGTTTACTTAACAAATCGAGACAGATCGTCTACAGATGAGTGAATCAATTGCAATATTTTTTTGAAAAAACTATAAGCAAAGTACAAACATTATGAGCAAAGGTAATCGCAACAAATAATGGGCACTCTACCAACAAGTGACTGAAAGAAGGGGACTGTTTCAGCAATTACACTACATTGCTCCTAAGTGGAGTTCACGTCGTGTTTAACATTAATTATTTACTTTTTCTTAAAACCTATTTATATATTTGATCTTCTATCCAGTATAACTATAGAATATGCGATTCAAAACGTATTAATTACCTATTTTATGCAAAAGTTTAAAAAACACTGGTACTCGTTTCAATTGTTATCCCTGTATCTTCAATTAAAATACTAATAACTTAATTCTGATTTTCATGCTATTTACAATCCAATTATCCAAGTATTCTAATGAGAACTTTATATTTAAAAATGACCAAGCTAATAAAAATTTCATTACTGTCTGACATATTTCAATTACATATACCTGTCTTAGCTTAAACCTATATTCATAGTCCTTATATCATTTCTTTATATTGTGTATATATTCTTTCTTTATATTGTTGCATAAATCCAATCAGCTCACCTTATAATCCTCTATAATTTTGCGAATAGTACGTCCGCGATGCCCAATAATATGTGAGTGTATGCGAGAATCAACTTCAATAACTTCACGATATAAATCTTGCAAATCTCCAACAATTTCCATAATGGCATCCCTCGCAGCCTCTGCATTAGCTTGATAGCCAGTAATAGTTATAATACGTTGATTTTCATCATCACGTTTTGGCAGCGAGATGTTAACATCATGATCAGCACGTAATTTATTAATTGTGGCACCACGACGACCAATTAGTTTTGAATGATACATCTGATCTACATCGATTTCAAGCACAAACGAACGAAGTTCACGATCGGCACGATCAGCTTCATATTCTTCAATCATTTGTTGTAAGGCGTCCTTAGCATCGGCAACATGTGCCGGTGTACCAGTTACCTTAATAACATCTGATTTTGTTTCGCTAGGTGGCAATTCAATATGTACATCATGTTTTGACATAAATTGACGAACATTTACACCTTTCGGTCCTATAATAGTACGATGTAAATCATATGGAACACTTATCTCTTCAGTGATAGGTACAAGATTTATAAGTGCTTGCTTAGCACGTTCACATTTTTCTAAACGTCCCGTTATACGAATAATATCGCATAGCCGTATAGGTTCATCATTATTATCAATGCCATTGGTACCATTTACAATACCTTCAGCGGGTTCCGTTGCATCACGATCAGGGAATTTGATTTGTACATCATATTCGGAAGTTACTTGTTGTACATTTAAGCCACGTGCACCCATTATAGTACGATGTAGTCGTTGTGGAATGACAACTTCAATAGTTACTTGAGCTTCAAGGTCACCAACGATTTCAGCAATACGTTGCTTTGCTGCCTCGATACAGTCCTTGGGACCTTTAAGTGTTACTTTATCGGAATCAACACCTGGACGTGGAAAAGAAATCATCACACCACCATTTTCCTCTGAAATGCGATGTAAGATTTCGCCACGTTTTGCCACAAAATGTTTATGATGTTTAGGATCCACAGCAATTTCACCTTCAGTTACTTGATCTATATCTTTAATAATAGCTTCAAGTTGTTCTTTTGCTGCTTTAACATTATCCTCCTTGCCAATTATTGTTATAACTTCTTTATCCTCGTCTTCGTTTGTAGGGAATATTATACGTGCACCTGTTGCGTCACGTATCTTACGAATGGAAGCACCGTTTTTACCAATAAGAAACTTATGGTGCTGCTGCTTAGCACGTACTTCAGCAGAAAATGAAGCAAGTTGACGCTCATTAGCAAGCTCCAGTAATTGTGCTTTAGCTTTTTCAACATCATCTTTTGGACCACGAATCGTTACCTATTAAATAATTATGCTTGCATCAAACTAAATTACATAAATTTTAATAAAAAATACTTGTTACCTTATCACTCTTCGATTCGCTAGTGGGAAATTTAATTGATACTCCGCCACATTCTTCCATAATAGCTGATATTAATTTACCTCCTGTACCAATTATCGAATTGTAATATTTTGGCGGAATTTGAACCTCTTCGGTTACAATATCAGATAATTCATTTTGAATCTTTTGAATACGTTCTTTTGCTTCTAAAACATTTTCTTTTTTGCCAGTTATAACGATCACCTCATTTTTATCACCTTCCGCAGGCAAGTCAATTTTCGTTTGAGTTTCATCGCGAATTTTTTTAATATTAGCTCCACCCTTACCAATGACGAACTTGTGGAATTGTTTGAAAATTGGTACCTCAATTATGTGCGATGAATCTTGAATTTCTTTTACGAGTTTCAACAAATCCTTGTGACACTTATCAACGTCTTCTTTAGGTCCACGTAATTTAACTATATCAGTATTTTCTTGTGGCGTTGGAATAGTTATGGTAACCTGACGATAACGATCTTTAATTTCGCGAATTCTTTCACCTTTAGCCCCAATAATTGAACGGTGTAAACGACGATCGATAATAACATCTTTTGATTTTTCGTTTTCCAGTTTGTCGATTTTTTCTTGTAATTCAAGCTGAGCCTGTTTCACGCCCTCTTTAGGTCCTTCGATGCGTATATTGTTTTGACCATCTCTTTCCTCAATATTAATATTCACTTTAAGTTCATCTTTAAGACGGTTAACATTAGCACCGGCTTTACCAATGATGTGCTTATAATACGAAGGATTAACGGTCATAACGAAAAATGTATAGTTGTCCAAATAGTTTTGTACAATACTATTCACATAGGCAGTTGCTTTATCTACATTTTCTGGATCACCCTCTAGTTTGATTTTGTCGTCTATACAATACACATTAACATTAGGACAATCTTCTTCTAATTGCTTTATATTGGCGCCTTTGCGACCAATCACATATTTATGTATCCAGTGTGGTGCATCAATTTCAATAGATTTAACAGAGTTGGCTTTCTCATAAACGGCAGTAAGAGCAGGACCCAGTGCGCCCGGAAGACCGCGTAAAGTAATTGTCTCTAGTGGTGAGTCAAGTGGTGGCATCTCAACAGAGACTCCAGTGAGTTGAAGAATTTCAGCAATAGTTGAACCCTTTGGACCAATAACGTAACGATGTTGAGACTTCGCAACTTCAACGCTAACAGTGCTACATTTATTTTTCATTTCTTTATAGATATTTTCAACCTTCAGCTTTGCAGCAGCTACAGCATCTTTTTCACCAGAAATAACTATTTCTTCTTTTTGTACGGATTGTGGTGGTACATTAACTTTAGCGCCAGTTTCCTCCATAATTTTATTAACATTTTCATTGTTTGGACCCAAAATAAATGGATGATAAATTTTAGGTACAGAAGTACGATCCGATGACTTCTTATATTGTTCAGCAGATAAGTTCCGTAATTCCTGTTCGGCCTTTTCAATACCTTCTTTAGTACCAGAAATAGTTATAACATCGCTCTCATCGATTTGATGAGGCATATTAATGCGTGTGGCTGTAATACGTTCCAATTCACGCAAACGTTCACCACGTTTTCCCAAAATAACGCGATGATGTTCTTTGGGTATAACAACCTGCGTATTTGCTTGAGTTGAAAAATACATCAGAATTTTTCTACGTGCATCCAACAACTCGCTTTGCTTGCCCTTAATCAAAAAAGTAAGCGATTGGTTTTTGTCACTGGCAATTTCAATTTGAGCGCCAGTTTCCTTAGTAATTTGCTGACATATACGCTTCGATTCGCCCTCACCAAATTTTTCAGAATCGGTTGATTTACGTTCCTTCCCAGGTACGTGCAATACCTATTAATAATTATATTTATAGTTAGAAATATGTGTTCTTTTTAAATTTTGATATATTTTAAGATGACATGTTTATGTAGAACTAACCTGAGTTTTTTGAGAGCTAGTAACGCGTACACAAGCTGGAGCAACATTACTATTTAATGGTGCATTGTTAGCTGGCAAAGCCGGGAATAGGTCATCATAGCTATTGGTGCTTGTTGGGGTTGCTATTGGTGTTGGTGAAGATGGTTGGTCAACATGAACTTGATCTTCATTAAGAACATTAGTTGGTTGTTGGTTGTCAATATTAGCTAAAAATGAAGATCATACATTAGAGTTGTTAAAAGTGAAAACTTATAATATAAGAGTGCAAATACCGTTTGATTCTTCCATCATTGCTGCTTGCATTACTTAAAAAAAGAGGAGTCCTTTTTCGTTCCAAGTCGTTACAGTACACTGCAAAAAAATATGTTAAAAAAATTAATAAGCAATCATTTCTATTGTACTAAGTATTATTTTTACAAAGCATACGAAAATATTTATAAATGCAAAGAAAATAAAATATTTTCATTTTTACTAAAAACTATTATCTTCAAAATGTTTATTGATAAGGAAATTCTTCATATCTTCATTTATAAATTTTCTTTCTTCACGCGTTTTTTTCTTTCCAGTCATTATCGTTATGACACCGATAAGAGGGGGGTCTCGACATCTAACCAACAGCTAGTGATAAAATAACTTAGGCAATTGTGGTGTATATGTACAGAAAAATTCATTTTCAATTTTAAATGTAGACTTTGAAGCTTTAGAGAGATAACGCTCAAAATGAATTGATTTCTTAAAGATGTGGGTACAGTATATTAAACGTAATTTATATACAGTTTTTTGATAGTACTGTAGGACTTGATATGAAATTACGTGAATATATATTTGAAAATTAAAGAACTAAAATTGTGATAAGGTGTTTGCAATTTGATTTATTTCTTTAATTACTTAATTTTTAAAATGCTATTGAATTATCTTGTTGTGCATATACTCGTATATACATACGAAAAAATTTATGGACGTCATTGCAGAAAGTCTGCATTTTTTTGGAAATAATTTTAAAAATTATTTGGTTGGCATTATTTATTAAAACTCAACATTTCAAAATTCCATAAACATTTATTCTTGGAAACAATTAATAACTTTTCTATTATTATCTTTGTTAAAGACCATAAGTAAAGGTCTTCAAATTAAGTGCAAAAAATATTATCACTGGTCTCACTGGCTGATTCTCTCCAGACAAATCTTTACAAGCATAGGTTCAAAGGGATTAATATAAAAAAAAATCTATGAAGAATTTACAATAGCAGAACTGGTGAAACAAACTCAAAAATATTGCTCAGAATATATTGAAGCTTCAAAAATATATAATATCTCGTATTAAAAGGTATAAGATTAAAAGTTAGGCTATTTAATCCATTGTTGCAACATGAAATATTATAGATTTTCCTTTTAAAAATACTCCCATTAAAAAAATTAATATTAATGTTTCTTTAATTTGTTTATGAGTGATTTTGATCATTTTAATAAAAAAGAACGGTGGCGCAACAAAAATCGGGTTCAGCTGTATAATTTGTTGTTGTTCAGAGATCTTTCTTTTTAAAATAGACTATATAAGGAGAATGGCAAATCGAAACATAATACATACACAAGGCCAATGATAACAGGTATAAACACTGGATTATCTTACTCTTCAACACACCTCAAAAATGAGTGCTGTATCGAAGAAAGACTACCATAGAAACTGTGATGAAAATGAAGAAGAAGAAATCACAAGACTAAGGACTATATTAAAGAAAGTGCTGGAATAATATATTTCAGCCGATGATAAACTAAAGCTCCGAAAAATATTACAAGTACTTCTAGCTAATAAATAAATAGAACTAACAGAATCATACGAATATCATGAAGATCTTAAGGTACTTTATCTTCCTAAATAATAATAATATTAGGGTACTATCAACTGTTATATAACAACATCATGTTATTGTTGTTACTACAACTTGTGATATTAACAAAATAGTTCAACGAAAATTAATCATTTTTTTAGGTGTCCTAATAGTATTTAGTAGTACTACAATGAATAATTTAGTCTAACTGTAATGCTTTCCCAATAAAGATATCCGATGCTCTCATAAATATCTACTTTTCTAACAGCAGATCTAATCTATCCAGTGTTTAAATTAATCGATATTTCAGCGAAAATATCTCCAAAATTAATACAATGTTGCTCAAAAGATTTATGTATTATATAGGTATCAACAACCCTTTGAAAGCAGGGTATGTGTATATAAGAACTACTGGATTGGAATTAAATTCCACCAAAGTCTGGTTTCCAAAAAACTTCGCGTAGAAGTATTTTAAGTGTTGTCTAACTCTGTCTTAGAAATAAAATTTCAAGCCCTTATCCAATTCACAAAAAATTCGATTAGAAAATCTTTATAGAGGATTAACTTTATACGGTATCAGCACGGATCAACAGGTCTCTACGTGACTGGCGAGCACCCAGATTAAGCTAAACCAACTTATTATAAGTAAATGATAAATAAATATCTTAAATAAGTATAATCTGGACTTTGTCCAATGCGAAGCTTCGATAAATTTCTAAAAATATAACAACAATTACTTAAAGCATTAAACATCACTATAACTACAATTTTTCTTGCAACTAAAACATTATCCCCGTTCTGTTCCTATGAACGCCGTAATCAATTAGTAGTTTAAATCACATTATAAAAAATTTACCACATATCAATGTTAATTTTAATATGTTAGCAATGATAATAATTAATGTAATAATTCGATTGCACATGTTTTTAGTGAGCTCACAATACACTCCATTTTATTTATTATTTTTTCAGAAACCGCGTTCATGCTATGTCCACATTGATAAAAATTGCTGCGTTCAGAGATAAGTCGGAAGTGATAAGACTATGTCAGTGAAGGCAATAGAACTTAATAAAAAAAAAATTAACATTTTAAAAATAATAGAGATGAAAAAACAAAACTGAAACAACTTTGTTTATAACACGATTCGTTGGTGTCATTTATTATCATTCATAAAATGGTACAAATGAAGTTTTTAATTTGAACATACAACTATATTTTGTGAAGTGTACCATTATAAATAAGTTCGTAACTAATTATATGTGTAATAAGCGTGATAGAACAATTTAAAAAAAAACTTATTTGCTAACATCAATCATTTATTTGAATACAATTTTTAAACACATACTTTTTCCTAATAAATAGTATAAATTATTATAATACAAATAGTAGTAATAGTTCAAAATTAAAAATGTGGTATGATTTATAAAAAGATTTATAAATATTCAAAATATTTTGACTATGCATACATATTCAAAAGTAACCCAATAAGAAAAATATGTATTATTGTTTAACAGCAAATCTACCAGACATAAAGAAAAAGAAGCACAATAAACCGGTAATGCAACCAGTTCATTCATAAGAGGATCTATCCAACCACTTCAGAGATATATCAAAATGTATATTGTAGAATCTATGCAAACGAAATTACTTTATACTTCTAAGTTCCGAATTTCTAATGTTTTTTGAGCAGAAATTCATTCTCTTCTGTAAGCAGTCGAATCACGACACAACAATGACATCTAGACAGCTATTAAAGCGTTAAATCCAATAGCTTTAAATCGAAAATCAGTCCTCTATTGGTACAAATCTCTAAAGCTAATTGTGTTATTTACCTGTTAGTGCATAGTAAAGAAACTATATCGCAAGCTACTAAAAATATAACCGAACCACTTTTTACAGGTAAAACAATAGATTAATACTTTTAGAACGAGTAGATAGCTTACAGTCAAAAATGTGTTTCTTAGGGATATAGACAATCGATATAACGATTGTCTGCGAAACGGCATACTGAAGAAACTATATCGCCGGGTATCAAAAAAAAATCTAATCACTTTTTACAGGAAAAACAACAGATTGATACTTTTGTAGTGGATACATACACTTAACAAATTAGAACATATGAATAGTTGAAACATGAACATGATATATATATATATATACATATATATATGAAACATGATATATAAATAGTTTAGTTAGTTTAGAACATATAAACAGTGAAAACAGTAATCAATGTTAAGAAAAGAGAAGCAAATAAAAAAATAAAGTCTTTCTTTTGATTCTGTTGGAATCGTTTCTCGTTTTATTTGCAAACTTTTAAAACGACTAGAAAACTTAATAGTCAAAAATGTGTTTCTTAAGAATATAGACAATCGATGTAATCGCAGAACGGCATACTGAACAAACTATATCACGGTCTACTAAAAAGATAACCAAACCACTTCTTACAGAAAAATTAACAGATCTATACTTTTAGAACGAATAGAAAGCTTATAGTCAAAAATGTATTTCTGAAAAATACAGACAATCAATATAGACAATTTACTACGTGACATAAAAATTCACTTGCCCCTGCCTTACACATCGACATTTCTTAAGAAGAATAGTTATTTGAAATCAAAAAATTATATTTAGGTCCATTTTTTGTGTTCCTCCATTCATTTTGCAAGAAAAAATACATAAAACTACTTATAAAAAAAATTACGATATTCTTACGATATTTTTAAACAAAGAAAATGACTACTGATAGCAGCAGGTTTTTTATCATACTTCCAGAATTTATTATCATATTGGCCCCTGTTATCATAAATCCCAAGATAACTGAATTTATTGTCATTAAATTTTAATGAAAATAAAAGGGCAATTTTAAATTTCCTTGAATATACAAATAAATCTACACCTGTAGAGAGTACGTCTAAGGTTAATAGTCAAAATGCGTTTAATAGATTCATTGTATCTCGGTTCTCTCTTGACAGATTGCAAATAACTTAAAATAGACTTTATTTACTATAGTTTAGAGACTATATTATTACCAATTTAATTCAGTTTATTTCTTAATAAAGCTAAAAACAAAGTAAACTAAAACAGATTTTCTTCAATAATTTGAATACCATATTACTGAAATGAATATAAGTCAATAGAAATTGCATATTTATAGATTAATCTAATACCTCTACTTCTAGTTTCTTTAGTGTGTTCTTCATTTTAAATTTAAACTTAATTTATAGATTTAATATATAAAATAAATTAATCAGCATATATTGAGTTTGGCGCGACACACTCGAACATGTCATATTTCAATCTTATCTATATATAAGCAAAGATGCCGGCTTAGGTCTCATATAAAAATTATCTATATAAATTTATTATATATTTTATTATTTATGGTAATTTCAAGCCTCATGCTTATTATGAAATAATATATTTAAAACACGTGGTTAGAAGATTTTTAAATCGAAAAAAGATTTTTCATTTATATTTTTATGCAATATATTAATTTATGAGTATATATAAATTAAAAG